AGTACTGACTTTCAAATATTTTGAAATAAATAAATAAATAAATAAATAAATAAGTCATTTCACCCAACCAGCGGAGTAGTAGAGTGCAGTCCTCTTGCTGAGCGCTTGTAGCTCAGATGATTGTCCATGATTGGTGCTTGACTGTACTCCAGCAGTTGGACAAACGTGTATGATCACAGCCAGCTCACTTTCTCGCCGTGACTTCAGCCCGCTTGCCTGTGTGAATGRACACAAACGTACACTAGTAGAATCACACGCTCGCACAACCACTCACATRTYCGCARATCAGGGGGAGGACCRTCATTCTTCTCAGYTGCAGCATGCGTGCCCACCATGGCTGCTACCTGCTTGCTCACACAAACGRACACTAACTAGGGGCAGTCGCTGTGCACCGCATGTCCTAGGTACGGTGTCCACAAATGCCCTCTCTTCCACCATGTCTGTTTCTTTCCCCTTCTTGCCTCTTCACTGCGTTCTCTGCGGTCACAATCCGTGCGCACCGTCCCCTATGGTCCTTCCATTCACCTAATAAGTGATCCCCTCCCGGTTGCAACCAGGTTGGCGGCGTGTAGCATGGTCGTCGTCATCTCCCCATGAGTATCTCTTCCCTCTCGCGCGTTCCTCATGCTCACTTCTCCACTTCCCCAGTTCGCTGCCGCGTGCCTGGCGCGACGAAACGTGTTGCACCCTTCCGCCGCGCACACCAGCCACATCGTCTTCTCCCCTTCTCCTCCTGCTCTCCTCTCTCTCTCACCAGTCGAACCGGTGGTGGGCTGTGTACGCCTAGCACGCTGCCCAAAAAAAAGCCTCCGCCCCCACAGTCCATACCACGCATAACTCTCTTGCTGACCGCCCTCCGAATGGGCGTGTCTCAGATCGCCTTCAATGCGAACTGGGTACACCTGGCACGTCCCTCAGAATGTCCCTCGTCCCCCCCTTCTCTCTGCACCTCGCCGATCCGGCCTATATCCCCATGGTACCAGAGGCCATGGCCTTAAGGGGACGCCAGCATAGCCAGCTTTGCAATGTCAGGGCCGATATCAGGGCTGTAGGTCCGATGTGGATATTCCGGTGCCGGCTGGGGSGSCAATTAACGCTATGAACAGAATGGTAAGCCGTTYCCGTGCCGAGCCAGCACCCACGCCAATATTGCAGTGGCAACCACAGTGAATAGTATCAGGAACCACACCACGAAGTAAAAGTCTCCAGCCGCAGTGTACCGTCCCAATATCGAGCTAGTAACCATGTCGTCGTGACCAGGCTGTCTTGGAACTAAAATCGTACCAGAATGATGACATTGAACTGGAGTGAATTGCGGCAATCCCAGTTCTCATCAAATTTCGCGACAAGGAGCATGTGTACCGTACCAGTACCGGTCAGTGACGGCACCAAACTGAAAGTATCGAACTAGGCAAACCCCTTTGTCGTAAAGTGCCAAGCCTCAGACGGTACGGAGTACCGTCCCAACCAAAATTTTCCCTCGCAGCAGGAGTTCCCCTGGTTGGTGCCAAGGGTGGCATAAATCGGTCCACGCGAAATCAAGGCAGTAGCAAGCCTGATTCACAGTGGCCGGTGCCGAGTCATAGCAGTT